CTGATTGCACACTGACTGATTGTAACTGCTCAAGGACATACCTTACCAGGCTAAGCAATTAGACATTGATACTGCTTATGGTTATGACAGTTTAAAGCAAAGTTGACAACAAAGGAATATAAAGGCTGAAAATACTAGTTGTCTAGCTGTCGTGACGAAGCTTTGGATTCAATACATTGAATCACTGCCATGGATGGAACAAGTATAGAGATTTTAAAAAATCTGACTTTTCTCCCACCTTTAGTTGTTGCATGACTGTGCCAAAGGAGTGACTCAGAAGTACTGAGGCCAAGCGCAGACAGTAAACTAGCATTTTCTCATGGAAGCCAACAGTAGAAGTTGTACTTTAAATGCAAATGATAATGTTTTGTATATATTTTTATTGAATTATTTACTATGGCCAGGACAAAAAAAAATGGTATGTTTAAAAAAGAAAATGTCTGGTTAAAATGAATTATTGCATATGAATCATTTGTAGTCTTCTATTCTATCCATCAAGAAGATGGAGCTTTAGGGCTTGTTCACACCAATTGCGGAGCAGATGCAGAGCAGAGCAGTTACAGAACACATCAAAAATGCATCCAATGTATTCCAATGGTATTTTGGTAAGTGTTCAGTTCCAGAGCATATGAAAAAACTGCAGCATGCCCTATTTTCTCTGCTCTGGAACTCACCAAAACGCATGCAAACACATAAAAAATGCATTCAAATGCCGTGGAACGTACTGAAAGCCCATTTTTGCCTACAAAAAAAAATTATTAAAAAAAAGGACCCAGAACGCGTCAAGAATTCGGCAAAACACACTGCACTGCATGTGCAGAAACTCATGCAGATCTGGTCCGCATTTGGTGTGAACAAGCCCTTAGGCTAATTTTTATACCTTCCTCTGACTCCTTTGCTTCTGTGGTGTAAAATGCTTGCAATATCTCAAGCTGATATTTACATACACAAGGAGTGACTCATCACTAACCCATAGTGCTCTGAGAATCCACTGTCTGTTTAAACAGAGTCCCGGCGGCAAAAGTCGCCGGGAGTCTGTTTAAACAGCCCCGATGCTGGCGACGTACACTGTACGTCGTCAGTCACGAAGGGGTTAATGCCCATCTGCAGCCTCCAGAACCCTGCCTCTTAGGCCCCGTTGCATTTGTCGCGCGATTTGCATATTGCGCGACATCGCGAGATTTGCCGCGCGATATCGCGTTCATGCTTGCATTAAGCAAGCTTGAATCGCGGCTAAATCCGCTCCAAAAAGGGTCCTGCTGTAGCGACACACGACCCGCGACAGCAGGACCCTTTGCCCCATTGAAATGCATTGGAGCGCGATATCGCGCGGTAATTTGCCGCAATATCGTGGGAATTACCGCGCGATAAATCGCTCAATGTGAACGGGGCTTTAGTCTACACACCCCCTTCCTGACCCCGCACCTATTTTTTTTAAAACTCCTGTATACATACCTTATATCCAGTTGTCTTCTGGTTGATCCATTGACATCAGGGGTACTTCCTTTCCTTGTTAGATGGCAGTGGTAGGAGATCTTTAGATCGCAGATATGCTCTCATGTAATAATACATCAATTTAATTTTTTTTAGATTTTTTTATTTATCTTTTTAATTTTACTTTTTTATCATTTACTTTTTTTTATAGTTTTTATCTTATTATTGTTTGTTTTTTATAATTATTTTCTTATTTTTTACTTTTTTAATTACCTTTTTCTTTTTTTATTGAATTATTTCAATATTATTATTTTTATGGATGGATTTATGG